GGATTCAAATTTGACCCATTGGATCCATACCTGGATCTACATAAAGTTTGAAATTCGAGTTTCGGATCCAAACTGGGTAAATTCTTAGCCCTAACCATTCCCTAACTAGTCCACTTGGTTTTGGTTACAAGTGCTTAGGTTGGTGTAGAAAGCAGTTTGTGGCTAAGGATGATGTTGCGTAAAATGGAACGAAATGTATATATTTAGACCATTTGCTTTTGATATAAAGATTTCATAATCATTATTGACGATTAGATTTGAAATTGTGTGGCTAAATTCAAACTAAAATTTTTTGAACATTATGATATACTTTGGATTTCACACTAAACAACTAAATATAATTATGACCACATCGTACCTATTATAAATAGTCGCAATCCAAAAAATTGAGGAGTCATTTCCTTAGTGTAAGAGAGAAAGATTCGTAAGGTTTTGCTTTCATGAGTTCCCGAAGGAAGCAAAACCTTACCGATTTGAGTTTAAGAAAAACAAAAAATGGAACATCGATTGTCGAAATTAGGCATCTGGAGCCAAACATTCGCCCAAACAGACACACCCCAAAAGGTAATGAGAAGAAGAAATTTCATGGGGGCCATGCCACCTGCACAACACTTTTTATGAAGTGAGATTTTCTTATTTTCTCTGTTATAAATAGCAATAAAATACATTGTCAGGCATTTGCCTAGCGGATACTGCCGATTAATCAAACCTTTGGGTCTTCTATGCACAAGCATGTCAAACAACAAGTAGAGAGATAAAGTACATTAGAGAGAGAGAAGTAAAAGAAGATTGAAGAGAGTTGCAGAGGTTGGTGCCAGAGACTGAAAAATAAATAGTAGTAGAAGAGAGAGAGAGATGAAGTGCAGAAGGGAGAAGTAAAAGAAGAGTGAAGTGATACAAACTAGATTTACCATTTTCATATAGAGAGAGAGAGAGAGAGAGAGAGAGGTAGCGGTGTTGCTAGAGCTTGACAACCTCCGGGATGAGCACGGGGTACTGGTCGATACAATCGGCCCATGGGCTGTCGGTCTCCGGTTTGATGCTTCTGTTGCACTTCCAAATCGCACTGTTGCATTTAAATCCACTCCCAAAGGCGATTTGCCAAACCCTATTCCCCTTCTTCATCCTCCCTTTCGATTCAATGTAGCTCATCTCATACCACAGACTGCTCGAAGATGTGTTCCCGAATCTATGAAGCGTCATCCTCGATGCCTCGACATGCTGAGCAGACAATTGCAGATTCTTTTCGAGTTCATCGACCACCGCTCTCCCACCAGCGTGTATGCAGAAATGCTCAAAGGCTTGTTTGAAATCGGGAATATAGGGCTTCCACTTCGGGTTGAATATCTTTCGGCCGATTAGAGAGAGCAGGAAGAGCAATTGTTCGGAAGCCGGCAGAACGAGGGGTCCCATAGTCGTGATATTTGATTTTAGGGCTTCCCCTGCAATCGTCATGAGATCTTTGGAGAGAGCTATACCCACGTTGTGTTGAGAGTCCTCCTCCTCGTAAACACAGCGGTAGGCGCGATCATCAGCGCCGCGGTGTGTGCGCACGACATGTGCCAAGAGGTACTTTGCGCGGCGGCTCTCGCGACGGCGGTTCGATAGCAGGAGGGCGGCACCCCCCATCCGGAAGAGACAGTTCGGGAGGAGCATCGACCGCTGGTTGCCGGCATACCAGTTGGGGCTGATGATCTCGGTGCTCACCACCACTGCGTAGGCATTTGCGTGCACCTGAACAAACACCAACAGCAACAGGGTTTGAAAAATCTGTTATAACGGGCTGCACCACAAAGGGCAGTATTAGAATAATAATTCTATACAATAACTGACTTGCTTTTTAGGTTCTTTGGAGTTTCAAGAATAACTCGAGTAGGGGGAGTTAATTTTCCTTACTAATTAACGGTTTTTTTTCGTGAGTAAATATAACGCCCGTGCTTTTAATTTTTGAGACCAACTTTTGAAAACCGTTATGAGGACCACGATGGTAAAAATATGCAAACTTTCAAATTTAATGGGCGTTTAACAATGTCCCTGTCATCGTTACCTTTATGTCACATAACGGCAGGGGTCATTTCTATTGTAACGGTTCTGGTGGCCGTTATTTTATTGGGTTTAACTTCTGATTAGAGCGCCAAGGGTGACAGAGAAGATTCTAATCCCTGTGCTAATCTATCTTAAGTAAAGAGAATTCACATTCTTGGTATTTTAGAACCATGCCTGCAATAAATCGCGAGCGAGATCGATGGAGATGACCCCGGCACTGCATCCCATTCCAGAGAGGTTGAAGCTCTTGATGTTGCTCCTCATCTTATACTTGTTCACAACCATGGCCGATAGCGAAGGTGTGGGCGAAAACAGGCTGCAATTCACTATCAAGATATCGACATCTTTAGGCTTGATCCCGGTGCGTTTAAATAACGTGTCCATGGCAGAGAAGATAACAAGCTCAGCCTCAGCTCGAGCATCGGCCATGGTTGGGTCGGGCGGTATGTAGTGGAGAGCAGGAGGCAAGCAAGTGGTTTCCCCCAAACCGGAGCGCTCCAGTATTCGAATCTGAAATTCTATGCTTTTCGAATCGAAGACGGGCAAGAGTCTAGAATGCTCGAGGAAGGTAGAGAATGGCACTCTGCAAGTGACCGGAGGCTTATAACATGCGTAATCAACCAGATAAATGGGGCGTGGCTTGGAGGTAAAGTAGAGAGTGGCCATCAAAACGATGAAGAGAGAGGAGCAAAGTATTTGGAGGAGGTCTAAGTGGAGAGAGTCCCACAGGCGAAGGATCTCTCCCGGACCCATTCGTAAAAGCTCGACGGCAGCCGCCGCCATTATAGGGACTAAGAGAAAGGTGAGAAGGTGGTTGACAAGGTACTGGTAACCGAGTTTAACATACTTTAGCCGAACTGAGCTTTGGAAATTAAGCGTGGTTTGAGAGGCCGGCATGGCTGGTTTTTCTGGCGATCGTGCCGGAGAACTCTGGTTTTTCCGGCGGTTTTGTTGTGATTCGGTTTTGGTGGAAGGGGGGTTGCGTTTTAAAGGGGAAGGGTTTTGGAGAGGGTTGGGGTAATGAATGGGGCAGATGGGGGGCTTAAATGAAGGTTTCGTATCACCATCGCTGGTAGCTCAGCTGGACTTTTCCTATTTTTTTTTTTTTTTTTATTTTCATCTCCCGTTTTGTGGGACTCCTATTCTTTCCATTCCTCGGGAATAACCCCTTTATTACTCGCCGATCTTTTGCCTCGTCTTACACATCGTCTAGATTCTCTTCTCTTCTAGGTGTGGTCTCTAACCCAAAATTTCATGATGCTTTTGCCCCGGTGCATTTGTTCCAAATAAAGCAAAATTTATAGGAAAATATCATTTTATTTAGATTATTTATTTATTTATTTACATCTAACTTTTTTTTAGAGCGCATGGTGTATTTTAACTTTATTTATTTGTTTATATATTGGATTAAGCTCAAGTTTGGAGAATATGTACTTCTAATCATTAGTTTTGATCATTATGCACCTGTAAAAAATATAAAAACATTAATTTGAAAGAAGAATGATCAAAGCACATTTATAAACTTGTAAGAGTATTTTTTTTCATTTTTTTTTTTTCATTTTTTTTTTTAATAAGTATATGATGATAAGAATTATGGATGTCCAAATTTAAACATAACATAATATAACGAAATTAAAATTAAAATATAAATATGCGCTCTTAAAAAGTGAGTTACAATATAAAATAGGAAAACTTATAAAAACCCCCTCAAGTATACTATCTATGCAACTTACCCCCAGCTAATCTTTTCTCTCACTTTTTTCAAAAAGTCAATTGCCCGTCCCAAATAGCATATTGCCGGAGCGACCAATTCAACAGCTCGAGCGATGTGGCTCCAGTAGGTGTACTGCCGGAGTGCTTGTCTTTATTGCCAGAGCAACCTATTCAACCATTGGAGCGATGTGGCACCAGAAGGTGTACTGCCAGAGCACGTCTTTGGGAGTGTGTGTCCTCATTGCGCCCATTTGAGAAATGATCTTGCTAAATGTTTGATGAGCCAAATATCAAGGTTCTTTTATTTTTAAAAGTATTTACACGATTAACCCATGTTTGATTGGAAAATGATGACCTCAACAGTACCGTGTCTAAAACGACCCCTTCGTGTTTCAAAGACAACCATGTACTAAGGTGGTTGTACTATGGACTATGGTGGCTGCCCCAGACCACCCTAGCAGCAAAGATGATAAAGGAAAGTTCTATGTAGTGTTGCCTATAAAATTTAAAGAAACATAGAAAATCAACAAAATATTATTTCAGGACAATACAAGCAATCTCTTGAAAAACGATAGGGGTTCTCCTACAAAAAACCATAACCAAGGATTTCGAGCAACACTCTCTTCTTTATTTATTTCAAAATCACATCAATCTGCTTACAACTCTCTTCGAATCCTTATCTAAAATAAAAGCCTTACTTAGATCCCATGAAATCATCCCTTCAAGCTCTAAGTTGTTCCTACCATGCCGAGGCACTTTTCTTCAATTTTATAGTAATAATTTTATATTTCTTTATTTTTGGAACCTCTTTATCATAAAAAACTCTTTATACAATATTTAGCCATCCTATATGCTCGTCAAGTTGAGGCTTACCATCAAAGTCGAGATTATCAACCGCCATGTTTAGGTCTTCCTTCCATGTTTAGGTCTTCTATCACTATTCTCATCATTCGACTCCACACATGGAGCACAACAATGAAAAACATTAAATTCGATATCTTCTTAGAGAAACATGAGGGTTCTCCTACATAAAACCCTAACCAGGGATTCGAGCATAAAGCTCTCTTCTTTCGTTATTTCAAAATCATGTCAATCTCCTTATAACCCTCTTCCTATCCCTATTTACAATAAATACCTTACTTAGAATCGAAGAAATCCTCATTCTAATTGAATTAAAATTTTTAGTTAAATTTTTTTGTAAAGATATTTTTGTTCATGATAAAACAAACAATTGTATAAGCACTCTAATTAATTTTCTAAACTACTCCGAAAATCCTAAGATTATAAAAAAACTAGAATACCTTAGAAAGCTTAAAAATCATAAAAGAAATAACCTAGAAAGTTCGAAAAGTACATCCCTAAATTTTAATAAAAAATTCAAAAATAAAATGCATCTTATCTGCATCATGTATACTATTATACTTATGAGTTGCAGTCCCTTACCGTTCTTTCTTTAATATAAAACAAGTAGGGCCCGATATCCCCACTGATTCACCCAAAAAAACAAAAACAAAAAAAAACTGTCGAGGTGAATGGTTCATGCGCTATTATTCATTAGTAGAAGACTTGCATCATTGGTAACAAACAATGGACGTTCATATGGTCATAGGAGTAACCATATCAATGTGGTGTATTTGTCAACATTTAATAAATGGGTTCCACAGTGATGGAAAAAAGTAGGGTTATATAATTCACTTGAGTGAAGGGGAATGATTTTATGTGGAGCATTTTCTTCATCAACTACAACCTAATCTAATAGAATTTTTAGAACCTAAATTTTTGAGGATGACCTAGAGACCAATTCAGATGGTGATTTTTAAAAAATTTAAAATGAAGATTATGAACACATGTAAAAATAAATAATTTTGAAGGTTTGAAATTCTTTTTCCTCTAGATTCATAATTGTGGTGGTATGGATAATAAACTAGTCAGTTTTAAATCCAAGATCCATCTCAAAAATGAATTATGGGACGGTGCACACACAATGACAGATGCCTCAACGCGTCTAAACCCTATCCAACTTGTGTGGTCCCAATAATCATAGTTTCTTGGTAGATTAATGATTAAGATGAGACCTAAAGGATGGTGGGAATTACATGGAGTGAGCAGCATCAAGCTCAATTTTGATAGTAGTTTGTTAGGTAACCTGTGATAAATAGGAGTAGAGGGGGAGGTATGTAGTCAGGAATTCAGATGGAAAGATTATTCTGTGTTATGCTGGGCCGTGGGAATTTCCTCAAGTGGAGTTGTTGGTAACACTGTTGCTAAGAGAGGTGTGGTATTGCAATCCCTTATCTGATGTTCTTTTTGTTTCAGCTTATTGTAACTCTCCATTGAGCAATAAAATTAAGTACCCTTGTAAAAAAAAAAATATTTTGTAGAGTATGCACCCTTTATAAGCGGATGGACGTGTTGATGGTGCAGATATGCATGGTTTTCATGGAGGACTCATACATCACATGAGTAAGGTATGTACCATGCATAAGATTTGTATGATGCATTCCATAAAATTACACATGTAAACAACCTATGTACCATCTTAGGTCTTGGAGGGGTGGAAATGCGTCGAGTTGGGTTCGGTCGGTTCTGGGTGTACCTGGACCAGAACCCAACCTGTACCTAACTCGAGTCCAAGGTTTTGGACACATATCTAAAACTTGGATTTGGATCCGAACCGTTTGGGTCTGGGTCTAGAACATGATAAATATTTTTTGAAAAGATATTCAAAAATATACACACACATCAATATATAGGCAAATTTAACAAAAATATAATTTTGAAATATATTATACATATCATATGGGTTATGATATATGTGTCTACATATATTTTAAAAATATATATTTATGTATAAAAATACATATACGTGTGTTGCAATTCCCTGTAACATTTAGCCATGTTGCTGGTAAAAAGTTAGTGAAGGTGGCTTCCCAATCTCTAGCACTTGGCACGTGCAAGAAGAGATGGAGTGTTTTCCCCTTGTTCTTGCTAAAGGGGTTAGGTCCACAACTTCCAGAATTGAGGAAAATGTAGTTCATGTTAATCTATCGAGTGATAAATAGACAAATTTTCACTATTTTGTAAAAGCTTTAGGTCAATATCCAAGTTCAAAGCCCAATTTTGGCAACATGAGAAGCAAAAAAATAAATTTTCAGTTCACATTAAGATCAAAATTTGAACAAAGAAAGGGCTTATATAAGGGGCCAACCTTATACTACAAAAGCAAGCCGCACCTAAAAAACCCATTGAAAAAGGTTGTACCGATATAGAAAAACATCTCTAATGGATCATCTCGACCTTTAGATGTATGAATATAAAAAATATGATTTTAAATACTAAGAATAATGTATCTTGTAACATAAATCTAGGCCATCTAATTCAATATTCTCAAATGTTTATATATCTTCTCAATTTGTACAACACTTGGATCTTTAAATATCATGGGTAGGGATAAAACAAATTTTTTTAAACTTGGTCTTACTTTGATTATTTAAAATTGAAACCATACATAAATCACGACCTTTGATAAAAGACAACCCCTATAGTAAGGTACCAAGATTTTGCAATTGAATTTGGATGTGAAGACCAAATAATAGAAGACCATCAAAAACAAAACCATGTTTATTATATTATATAGTGAAAATTGATATGTTTAACTAACCTTAGTTAATAGAGTATAAAAATTTAAAAACTTGGGAAATTTATGAAAGAGTGCGGTTTGTATAGAGTCTAGGTTCTAAACAATCAAAGTAAAGCACACTTTCAAATAGTGTCGAGAAATGGGGTTTCAATACTGGAAATCTTTGTGATATCCTTAAAATATATTTTATTTTTAATTATTAAATTTAAATCTTAAAAAATAGTGTAAATCCAGCATATCTATGAAAACTTGAATATCTTGAAAATTGACGGTCCAAAAATGTGTCACAAAATACACCATTTCAAAAATCTGAAATCCATTTTTTTTCTCATGTTCATGCATCTTGATATTGAGATGATCAATTTGAAGATATTTGAGCATCAAAACAACCTCTTCTAGTGAAATTTTTGAGGTGGTCTCTAATTTGATTCTTTATATCCTCGGCTTTATATAATTTGTTTCTTTTATTAAAATATATGTAACTTATCAGCTATTTAACGTTTTTACCTATTTTCAATATTCCAATTGATCACATGTATTAGGCTTTTTAAAATTAAATAAAAAGAAATGAGTAAAATACTGAATAGTTCGTCTTCTAAGTGCATTTGATAAATTTCCCTAAAAACATTTGCCAAATTTATCCAACTAGCAAATGGTACGTACTTCCATGAAGCTTTACTTCATGAAATTTATTTCAGTTTTCCGTAAACTTGACTATAAGTTTTCACTAATCCTTGTTGTAGTAAACTAATTATATCATTGGGAAAATATCTCAGCACATCATTTTTAGGTTTCATTTCTCAACAGAACTAAAGATTTAAAACATATATAGCAGTACAGAGATCTATGTATCATATCTTTTAACACTCTGGACCAACTTTATCCTTTTTGACTGAATTTTAATATTGCCAAAAAAAAATGAAAGAGGTTTGGGGAGAAACATCAGAAGAGAGAGATGGAAGTTTAGAAAGCAATAGAAAAAAAAGATGTCTTTTGAACTTTTATTTGGGCTAAAAAGATGGGTCAAAGGGGTAAAGTTGGTCCAGAGCGTTAGAAGATATAATACATGTGATCTCTATGCTGCCGGATCTCTATGTCGGTAGATATGTTTTGAAGCCTTGGGTTTGTTTTTTAATTAGTCCTATGAAATCTCGTATTCATGACAATTTTTTAAATTTTAGATGGAGAGTATTTTTTTCTTTTGACATAAAGAATGCCATCTTAAAATATAGATACATGGAATTTTAGGAATTGAGTCCTACTATATCCTACTTTTAAATTATATTTTTAGATTATTTTTAACTAACTTATGTCATGAGAAAATAATTGCAATTGTCAACTATTCTTAAAAATGTTAATAACTCTATTTGAAACAAGTAGTTTTAAAATTTTAGCTCATGGAAAAATAAATCATGCGGATAAAATAAAAGGCAAATATATACAATGACACTATTTACTTTTGATATAAGGAAATCACAATCATGATTGATCATTAGATATGGTTGAGAATGTGTGATTGATTGGGCACAAAGTCTAATATAAAATTTTGATTGTTCTGACACATTTCAATCTATTGGATTTCACATGCAATGGCTAAAAATGATTGTGACTCTTTTGTACCAAAAGTGAATGATCTCATAGTATATAATCTCAAATAAATGATTTGAAGTTTTAGAGAATGTATGAGATAAGTTTTTCAGTTTCAAAAAAAGAGCCAAGGCTTAATTGGTTAGCGCAAGATAATTTGCAATGCTACGTCCTAGGCTCAACTTACCCAAAAAAAAACAGAGTTCCACTTTCCATAGTATTTTGAGACCTGGAATCTAGGAATTTGTTGGAGTAAGGGAAAGAAAACTTTGAATCTATTGAAAGTGGGTAGATTGAGAGATGATTTAGTAATGGACATAATTTCTAAGCGGCCAGCCTTACATATTGTAGAAATGCGGGCTTGGCAATAAATATATTTTTTAAATATAATTTGATTCTAATTTTTTAGAGAATATATAATCTTTAACATGGAGATCATTAATATGAAAAAA